AATTTCAGTCACGAACGAGTAAATTAACATGTGCATTGCATTTTTAACGCTTCTCGACCTCGCATTGAGAAATATCTCTCTACATTTTACTCGTTTCCTGTATTTTCAGATTTGTAGATGTCCCGGTCTCCGTAGTTGTATTTATTTCTTGTCAAATCACAAACGAAAAATATTTTTAGTCGTAGTTCGGAAATATTTTTGGTTGGATTTCAGTTACCATTCAAGACGATATTATTTCCACATTTGAACCGGTTTATTTAATTTTTGCCTTTGCTCTCGGAACAAGAACTGAACAAAGTGATGTCTCTCGAGCTCAAGGGTATAAATCAACGACATAGAGCAATTCCTTTTTAAATGAAGATTCTGTTTAGTTTTAGATTTAGCAGCCTTTATAATAATTCTCGCAGGGCTTGATTTCTTGAAGCTAAAACATCCAGCTTGTGTCCTTGTGTGGCGTTCCATCTGAGTAAAAAAATGTTTTGTATAAACTTCAGTGGGGTCATTGAGCAGTTGCAGAACCGGATATTCGTTGATCCCTGGCCCCGGCCCACTTTTCCTCCTTGAACATGTAGCGACACAGGACGTTTACACAGGCTAGTCTGCAAATACAGCCCCTCTCATCACTTCGAACGCCAGCGATAAAGGAAAAAGGTTGTCCATGGAAATATGTAGGACCTGCACTTGGTGTAAGCCCACAATATAAATGGTTGGAAAAAAAACCCTTCAAAAATATCAATGTCTATCTTTTCGAAGTAATGCATGCAGAAACAGGAAAAAATACACAAGACTTCTGCAAAACCTCAACCAAAACATTATGACATTTTGGCAGACGTCAGCCAATACTGAATTTTCTCGATTCACAGGCGAAGCCCAAAAACACCAGGTTCAAACAAATGTCAGGTCTAAAAGGTTAAGTTTTAAATAACACACGTAGTTTAGTTGAAACCGACCGTTTGCGATGTATGGTTTGAGGACTAAGAAAACTATGAAAAGTCGGCGTAATTCTGCAGTCTTCACTGGGCAGATTGTCATGAGAAACAAATGATAAAAAAACATTGTTTAATGAAAGCCTGGTTGAAGCAAACGCTGGGTGTAACAGGCCAAGTGTTATAAACACGGGCCCGACGTTTAATTTAGAAAATGGAAGCGGCGGAAAACTAGACAGCCGAACAAGTGTTTCGGCTTAGAGAGTTATATTCTTAGGCAAGACACTTTACTCTAACAATTCCTCTCTTCTCCCAATTGTATAAACGAATACCGGCAAATTTAAAGCTGGGGGTACCCCTGCAATCAGTGGACTCGCATCCCATTCTTGGGGGAGTGAAATAACTCCTACTCCCCGGCTTAATGCTGCAAAACCCGGGATAAGCTGCGGCGGTATAAACCGTTTGACCCCACGTATAATGTATTATACACGTACGTGTCGGGTCTTAGCCGTGTGTATATGTGATTCGATCGCTAAAGAGGAGAATACTATTTTAAAGAGGCGGGGATGCTTAATAAAGCCCTAAAGAGTCCAATATGGGTGTGATTCATCCTTTGTTTGAATCTTAACAGGTACAGTTTTGAAGCTGAATGCAGACACCTAGGGACTATTGCAACTTAAACAAGAACGATGAACACGATGTCATTCGCATGCTTTCATCAAGAAAAGAATTTGAAAGATTTCGTGTCTGACTGATCTAAACCGTTAGCACTACGCGAAGCTAGTGTTCTCCCAACTCCTGAGCGCCGCACGTGATATGGAGCCAGGAGATTAGAATCTCTGCTTCTTTCAAATCGAAGTCAGTTCCCTGCAGGAACACTTATTACAAACTATGACCTTTAACTTTCAAAAACATGACAGACCATCTGTTTTGAGAAGTAAATAACCTTGCGAGCAGAAACAGGATGTATTACCTGAGAGAGCTCAGCACGTGAGCAAGGAGGAAGACTGAGGAAAAAACGATAAACGACGAGAGTTTGCAAGGGAAAGACTCACCGATG